TGTGGTGGAACAATTTTGTATTCTTGCTCCACGAACTCTTGTTAATTAAATTTCCAATTTCTAATTTTAAGGGGTGTATTCAATTGAGATTTCAAGTGACATTTTGAGACTTTTTAAGATTTTTATATTTTGAAGGAATTGTGTGAAATCTTTAAGTCTGGAGTCTGGAGGTGGGATTTGAAGTGAGATTTTGTATATGGTTTTTCTTTAGAAATCCCACCAAACCTTAAAAAGTCTTAACAAATCCTGGTCTCAAATAAGTTAAATACCTCATGACTTTGTAAGACTTTTTAAAATCTCAATTGAATACCCCAAGACTTTTAAAAGTCTTAAATATTTGTTGAAAACAGGGCAAGTGTTGAGTAATTACTAGTGTAAATATTTGTTCTTACTGAGGCTTTTTTTAATTTGCTGTGTCTTCCAGATGGTTCAAGCTACTGTGATACTGGAGGATGCCATTAAAAGCGAGCACTTGAGAAATGAGTGGTGGTATTGGTCATCCCCCTCGACTGCAGCCAAAATCACTACACTTTCTGCACTTGCTTTGCGTATATACTCTCTTGATGCAGCTATCTCTTACGATAAACCTCTTCCTGCGGAAATTATCGAGTGTTTAGATGGGGATGCATCTCAAGTTAAGAATCCCGAAAACCCAAGCAGCTCGTCATCACAGAAGACACCCGAGCCAGAATCTGTGGAGAATCCAAGAAGCAGGAGTAGAAGTAGCAAGAGGAGAAAGATTTGAAGGATCAAGATTCATATTCGTTTTTGCAGCTTCTTCTAATTTTCCTTCCCATAAAACGGAGTACAGGCACAGGAAACAGGTATAGACAGCCATAAGGAAACCTGTTAGTTTATGAGTTTGCTTTGTTGTAGGCTTGTAGCCCACAAATGTGTGTAAGTATATCGCCAGCCCCCTTATATATGCTTTTCTTTTCATACACCCATTTTTAGCTAGATGTCAGTGGGATGCTGTAACTTGTTACATAATTGTGATTTTCTTTGTTAACAAGAAATGTCAATTATGATTCGTTTTATGGGATTTTTCTGCCTTTTTGCCTTATTCAAGTAAATCTATTGGGTAATTATGTGACTGCTGACAGAATCAAGGAACCTCAGTTAAGCCACGTATATATGTACTAGTAAAGTGCACGTGCGATGCATGTAGTGGTGAATATTTTTGGCGATTAAATTTAGTAATGTAAATTAATTAATTTATTAAGCATATCATTGTACGAACACAATAAAATGTGAATAAATGAGCTCCTAATGATTTTTTTGTTAAAAAATAATATAATGGTGTTTTGATATAAAAAGAATGAAATAACATATTATAACCACAACAGAAAAAATATGGAAAATGAGTCCTTAATGAAAAAACAAAAACACTAAATAATTAAATAAGGACCTAATGTATATTGTAACATTGTTTATTTATTTATGTTAAATGATTCAGAACTTTTTTTTCTTTCATATTGGTTTTGACGTTCTCATAAGAACATTCATACTCGTTGGAACCTAATACATCAATAGTATTTTGTAAAATATTTTTTCATTCATTTGGCAAAATGTCTTCTTTATTCAAACACTTATAAATATTCTGACCAAACATATAATCAATCTTCATGATTGTATGATCTTTATAAGGTATTTCTACTAACAATTCATAAATATCTATGTGAAATACAATTTCATTAAAACTGTTGATAGTTTTTTTTATCAAAGGTGTTACTATTCACCGCCTCGATTATAACTATGTACTACCTCCATTTGGACAGTTTTGCCCCTGGTATTTTTTCCAAAAAGTTAAAAAAAAATCGTCGGCCGCAATCGCCGATCAGCCACGCGATTTTTTTTTTACTAATCAAATTTTTATTTATTATATAAATTATGTTAGAATTTAGATATTATTATGTTATAAAATAAAATTTATTATCTTATAATTAGAATTTCTAAGTTCTAAAATAATAATAATAAGTTCTACAAGATAATCAATTCTAATTTAAAACATTACAGTTTCTAAGTTTTAACATAATAATAATAATAATTTCTACAAGATAATCAATTCTAATTTATAACATAATAATTTCTAAATTCTAACATAATTTACANTTAGGGTTGGTGTATTCAATTGGGACTTTTAATAAATTTTTAAGACTTTTTAAAAGTGAGTAACTTTGATGGATTTTATGAAATTTTTAATGATTTTGGTGGACATTCAGAGACTTCCATAGCAAAATCTCACAAATTTGATGAGATTTCTATTGATCACTGTTCTTAAAATCGGCCTAGGCGACCGCCTAAGTGGCACCTAGGCGCACCTCCGATTTGCACAAATCGGCCAGGAGGCTAGGCGGCCGTATGCGCTCATAGGTGGACTCGGCGGCCAGGCGGGCATAAGCGGACCTAGGCGGGCTCGGCGGCAATTTTTCAGTTTTTTTTTTTTTAAATATTAATTACATTATTTTGTTCTCATGTTTTTTTTTAAATATATTATATTATTATTTGAACTTAGATGTGTGGATTTATTATAAGGTGAAATAGTTTTATTTTGTAGGTAGTTAAAATAAATAAAAAATAAGGTATTTAATATTGATTTTAGGCCCCGACTAGAGGGCCTAGGCGCTCTAGGTGCTAGGCGCCTAGCGGGCGCTTAACGACTTTTAGAACATTGTTATTGATAACTTTGTCTTTGTAATTTTATTAAAAAAATCACCAAAAGCCGTCCAATTGTGCAAGTCTTATACAGTTTTTCTACTTTGAATATCAGGTGACTTACTGAGTCTCTTAGAAAGTTTTAATTGAATACACTAAAACTTTTAGAGATTTATAAAAAATCTTTAAAAGTCTCAATTGAATACATGCAAACTTTTTAAAAATCTCAATTGAATACATGCAAACTTTTTAAAAATCTCAAAAAGTTTCAATTGAATGCGCCATAATTTTAAAGTTTTAAAAAGAATTAATTGAATACACCCTCTTTAAAAATAAAAAAAAAAAATAAAAAAAAAAACCATTCAACCAGTATAACGAAATAGAAAGCTATAACCTCAGTAGAGCATTTATGGCGACCAATACAAAAGAAGGTGGCAAAAGTTATTTTCCTCACCCTTCAACAGTGGGATGCAACTCATATCGTACCATTTCTTCCCCATCATGCGGAACAAAATTGCTACAACATAGTTCAACGCATCAATTTTAAAAATGTTGCCTAATCCAACGGACTAAAACCATAATGTATGATGATTCAATCTCTAATACAGAGTGAAAAAACAAAGAAAACAAATGTTATGCTGCTTAAGTAAAATACACCAAGCCTCCATATGCCCACAGGAGTTTTATTTTATGCTATTCAGGCCTTTGATCTCTGGGCCAGGCCTGTCTCAACTTTCTTGATCTCAAAGATAAGCATTCTCCACATCTTTAGAACAAACATCTCAGCCTCATCATCCAAAATGGTTTGGAGTCTCTCAAGCATCTCACTAGCTTCAACATGCTCCTGAGTGCTGGACACGATATAGTCTACAAGTGTAACCTCTTCTTCTCCTAAATAGTCCGTAATCTTCTTTGATATCCATGGTCTCATTCTCTCGTGCAGCGCATTCTGCAAAGTATAAAGAAGATAAAGACGGGAAAAAGAGTATCATGACAAGTGTCTGGGTCCGTAATGTACATATAGAGTACCTAATTACATATTTAACCAATTGTTGAAAGGAAGAGAAATTTTTTTCTCAAACACAGCAATCTTTAAGGGAATCCCAGTCCCAACACATTCGAGTAAATTATCCCGTCATTGTGAAATCATAAATTTCAGAGCAATCAACAAGTTGGCAGCCTAAATTAAAAATGCTTCAAAGTGACCTAGAATGAACAAGCTCCATAGCAATTTCAAGTGAAGTTTCAATTTTACTATAGATTGCAACATAAATTGCACCTATGCATTGTACAATGTGAATGCAGTCGTTTCCAATGTCAACTTAAATGTTTGGCCAGTAAAAGCCGAACTGAGATTGATAAACTAAAAGGTGATCTCTTCATAAAACTATCCATTATAATATTGGATTTAAAGCATGGCACAAACAAGTACAGATGATAATGGTCTAACTCTTTCCCCACAGTACAAAATGTACTACCTCACTGTGAATGTCATGAGAAACTTCATTCTAGGCATGAGCTAGTTACCTGGTCGTAGATCACCCAATTTATCTCATATGAAAACAACTCATCCTTGGTCTTTGGGATTGTATCGATCAACTGCTTAGCATCCAAAAGCTTCTGGTTTTCAGGGGTCTTCTTATTTGACCTCTCCCTGTCCAAAATATCATTTCGGCTCTCTTCACGTGTGCTATTAGTCTCTACTTCTGGCCTATCTCGATCTCGATGGCCGGATCTATCATGAGAACGTCGGTTTCTCTCTTTTTCTATGTCAGGTTTCTCTTCTTTAGCACTCGCTGTTGAAATACGCTTCGCATATTCTGCTGCAGCAGCAATATTGGCAGATGGGCCTTCAGGTATTGAAGGTTGAATCACTTGCTGTTCTTCAGTTGAGTAATCAATTGGGACTAGAGGTCTCATCTTCTTGTCCTTGTGTGCGTCCTCGTCTTCATCCTCATTAAATACAGAAGGGACAGTAGTTCGTTTTCCAGACCCTAAAAGACCAAATCCCAACTTCCTAGTGGGCAAATTGCTACTTTGCCTTGCATCAGAATTTGATGATGTAACAAAATCATCACTGACACCATTTTGTAAGACCTCTTCACCCGCTACTGGAAAAAAATTGTAATTTAAGATAAAAAGGTGGAAAATGTTTCAATTCAAGTAGGCAGGACATAAAAATGATTAAAAAGCATAACATTGAGCCAGAAAATATACCTTCAGAAGCACCATGGTCTAGTTTGTGATCAACGGTCTGATCAGCATTAAAATGGTCTTCATGATTGGATTCATTTGGTAAAACAGCATTCTCTAGTCCATTAACAGGTTCTTCTGTTTTCAGAACCTCAAGCTGTTTCTTCTGTTGTTCCTCTAGGGCCCTAATTTTAGCTTCTTCAATTTCTTCATCCTCTCTCAATCGGTCGGCCAGATCATCTTCTTTCTCCCTCTGTCTCCTTTTCCTCTCTTCATCGCTCGTCTTGTATTTCCTCTTCTTTCCATATCCATCATCATCATCATGCTCTTGATCAATGATCTCCCACTTCCTTTCATGGGCCTTCTGTTTCTCTCTTTCCCTCTCTCTCTTCCTCCAGTGTTCCCTCTCTCTTTCCCTAGCTTCCCACTCTTTCTCGCGGGCCTTGTACCTGCGTTCATCTTCTCGGCTCCTATGTACTCTGTCTTTCTCCCTCTTAGCCCTTTCTTGCTCCCGTTCTCTCTCATATCTTTCAAGTTCCCTTTCCTTTTCTCGTCTCTCACGGTCAAGGTCTCTGCTCCTATCATGCCTTCTACTCCTATCAGGTGAACCGCCATCAGTCCTCTCAAACTCGCTCATAGGTTTGCTTTCAGCAGTCTTATCATCTTCATTTTTGTCTTCTGAATCTGTAAACAGAGTCAAAGCATGTTATCGGTGTTCACGAAAACCATAAAAGACATGACAGTATCTATTGAATCAGTCACCAACTCACTATTCTTTGCCACATCATCTTCCGATTCCTCATCCCTTGATCCAGAAGGCTGTTCAGAGTGCGAGTTTCCAGGACCATCTACGGGTCTCTGAGGGGGTGGAGGTGGTAGTGGATTGTTCTTCAACCGTTCCTCTATCATGCCTGTGAGCTTCTCACGTGCCTCGCGGTCAGCATCCCTGTCTTCATCGGTAACGAGACCAAAATTTGTAGCATCACTATTTTCCTTGTTCATCTCATCCTCGTCCTTTTTTTGTTCGTCCGATGGTGGCTTCAGACATTCTTCATTGGGCTTCACTGTTTCGTTGGTAGCAGCGCCTGACGCACTCGCTTCCTCTTTCTCACCACCCTCAGTTTCTGATTGTTTCTTTGAACTTTCAGTTTTTTTCTCTACATAACGTTCAAGATATTTCCGAGTTGTTTGATTTACATTTAACTGCAGATTCATCAAGTCCACTAGAAATCAGCCGAAAGAAAAATACATTTAACTATTTTTTAGTTCCGAGGACTGAGATGATGTTATCTAAAGGGAGAATAGACAATCAAGAAAATGAACCATGAAAGTTCAACACGGTATCATAGATATAACTGAAAAATATAATTAACCAAAGTAGATACAAACTTTGTATGTGAGTTTATATCCAAGGTCAAATATCAAGGTGAAATTACCACTACCAGACAAATATGGAACATGAGATATTCAAACTGCACCTAAAGATGAAGTACCAAGCTAATTTAATTGCATATTATGTTACACAAAAAAATTATCAGAGGTAAAATTGAGTGGAGTACACATAGACAGCACCACAGAAGAATGTGACAATACCATAAGCTCTTGCCCATCAATACTTAGTTTGTTCAGAAGCCGCAGTGCACGAAGAACTCCTTCCGCAGACTCGAATTCACAAAATCCGAAACCTTTCAAAATCCCAGTGGGATCTTGAGGACGCTTCCAATTCTTCACAGGGCCACAAAGCTTCAGAAATTGTCAAAATTCAGAATCACTTGCATTCAATCTACCAAATCAAACTAAATTTGACAATGCAAGAAACATACGTGAAAGAGAAATGACCAAACAAAGAGAACATGGGGATTAAAGAAACATGTCACATATCATACTTTCAGCAGAGACAACATGAAATCGTTATCCACTGTTGAAGATATCTTTCCAACATAAACAGTTGTCTGTGGCTCTTCTGCTGTAACAACAGTAGCAGGCGGCCTAGGAACAATATGAGGAATGACTGGGCCACGAATGCCAACAATAGGAGGGCGTGCCAATGGTGGCATAACACCAATCAACGGTCGTGGAGGAAATGTTGGTCGAACCATTGGTGCATAAGGAGAAGGATAACGAACAACTCCTGCATAAAGAGACCACAAAAATCTATGCAAATTGTCAAATAGCATTTCAAAATTCAAAAAGACCAAATCCGCTGGTGTCACCAAACATATAACAAGCAATTAGAGAATGCAGCATAGGCATGACACACTCACCCGCTGAACATATAACCTGAAGGAACATGTAGAAAATAACACTTGGATACATGAGTCTGGAATGCGTAAACATGGCATACCTTATGCATCCCACTTGCAAAACAGATGCCAAAAATATCCCAAAAGCAGGCACCACAGGCGCAGATATAATTTGTGTAGTGCGGTGAGGAAACCAAACCCTCAATTATAACCAAATACCGCAGGCATAAAACTCTTTTAACAGTATTGAATTTTAATTACGTTAGCCATAATGAATCTCGTAGACATCAATATATAAGAGGAGAAACAAAATCCAATTGCATGATTGAGAAGATTGTAATACCTTGAAAGATAGAGGTATAGCTGCAGTCAACTGTTAGCATAGTCTGCTGCCGGCAATTCAAAAATTAAAGTCCCGTAAAAGCTCTAAACATTCTTACTACTACAATAAAATTCTAAAAATTAAACAGAAGAACCATATAATGTTAGGACTAAGGGGTAAATTCATATTTCTTTCAGCCTGCAACATGATTTTTATTTATTTATTTGTTTATTTTGGTTAGAAGCCCACTTTCCTCATTCACATTAGACTGAAATATGCAAGGAACTAAACGAAACCAAGCAAATAAATTTCTGCATACCAACAAAAAGGAGTTGAAGAGTGAGGGACAGAAAGCGCTAATGAAGCCTTCCAACCTTTCCCAATGGAACCAATCATGAGTCAACTGTAGAGAAAACATACAGTCATCGATACCCCTAGACAACCTTTCAACCCCTTCTCTCGTATTCAACCTAACCTTTTCTATAATACATCAATACACCTTACCTTATATGATAAAGCTGGGCAANAAAAAGAAAAAAAAAAAAAAAGAAGAAAAAATAGTCTATTTTAACTAGGAATGCATATTCATTTGATGTTCTTAATTTTAAACAAAATATTCAGAAGAGGGGGATTCAGACATCAATCCTGTGAAGCTTAACACACCTCATAATTATTGAGACACTGAATTCAAATTAAAAGTCCAATTCTCAATATCAATTAGTGGTATAACCTTGAATAAACCTACTCCACTTAAAAGAAAATGCAAAACTAAGTGGATAGAACAGGGACATAGGATGATTATCAGAGGTCGAGAATTTGTATGGCAGAAAGAAAGAAAACCAACCCTGAGGAATTGCACCTGGGGGAACAGCCTGCGGGATAGCCGGAAAACCATTTGGCATCTGCGGCAAAATTCTCATTGGCTGACCGGGTAAGGGATACGGTGGGGCCATCCCTGGATGCACAGCAGCCACCTGAACCTGCGGTGGCACACCCCCAACCGTCGTGGACGAAGCCATGGCCAACATCGGATGCGGGATCCCGGGGTTCTGAAAAGTAACAGGGGAGAACTGCGGCGTGGCTCCAGCAGAAGGCACTTGAATCGCCGGTGAAGCGGGGCGGAATGAAGGCTGGATCGGGAGCTGAGAAGGATTCAAAACCGAGGGCGGCTGAGGCGCGCTAGGGTTAGGGTAGGGAAACGGAGGTGGCGCAGAGGAAGATGGATCGGGCTGCGCAGGTCGAGCGTTGGATTCGGGTTTGTCGGGAACGGTAGTAGGCTCGGCGACGGCGGCGGCGGTTTCTGGCGCGGGGGTTGAATCCGCCATAGCTAAATGATAGGTGAGCTGCCTCGAAACTCCGGGGTTATAATTTTGGGGGTTATAGTAAGTTTCGGGATTTTGGGGCAGGTGATCTTTTTTATTTTTTTTATTTTTTTATTTTTTATTTTTTTTTAAAGTGGGTTTTTGTCAGGTTGGATACGGCTATGGTCGCCAATGTGGGTTTGGAGTTTGGACTCGCTAGCATCAAAACACTATAAACCAGGTTCTGATAATCGAATCGGCAAAGTTATTGGTTTATTGATCGAACCGGTTGGATCGATTTAATTAATATATAATTTTAAAATATCTAATTTAATTAACTTATAATTTTTTTTTTAATTTTTTTTTTATACTTTAAATTTTAATCTATATTTAAGTTAAGAATAGATACAACCTAAGTTTGTATTTTAATTTTTAAATCCAATTTTAAGTTTTTTATTATTGAGTGAAAAAATAAAATTATGTGCATAACAATAATTTACTTTCTTTTTCAATTTAGTAGAAATAAAAAGCATATACTTGGTTAATGAATTTTTAATGTTTGGTTTTAGCCAATACATACAGCCCAATTAATAGTAATGTGCTAAGTTTTGGGGAAATTTATATAACTGTCCATTATACACGAAGAGTTTAGAAAAAAAATCAACTCCATAAAACATTTATAAAATTACCAAGTTGTTTATTAAAAACGAGAAAACAATAACTGCTCAATTTGAAATCGTTAATCCCATATTAGTTTATGCATGTTTGAAACTTTAAACTTAGTGCTTAATTGATTAATTCCTATTTTTAAGGTGACAATTTCAAATGAATGAAAATTCTTAAGAGTTATTGGATAAAAAAAAACAAGTACTCATATATTTTTTAGGAAAAAATATTGCTACAAAAGTATTAAAAATAATGAAAAATATTAATTAAAGATTTGATCTTAAAAAAATTATTTATGAATAAACATCTATATGAAAAAGCAACTTTATTAACGTAACAAATATATATCGAACTACCTAATTTTATTAACATATTCAAATCTATTCTTAAAGATTGATCAGTTGGCTTTATGATATATATTCATATTTATTTTCGTATCTTAAGAAATAAAATAGTTATTAAATTTAATTTATGCACACAAGTTGATTCTTGGTTGTCATCAGGATATTTATTGGTTTCCGAGCAAATAAATAAAAAATTGAGCATGGTTTCCGGGAAAATTGAGCACTAGTGCACTGTAATGTTTATTTGGTTAAGTGGAAGTGTGGAGTTTCCCTAAAAACCAAAAGCAATAATAATTAAAACAAATAAAATTGTGTAATCAATATCATTTTTTTATGACAAATACATATATCTCTATATGTGGGTACAATGCTTGTTGAATCTCACAATTAAGTTATTGTTGATATTCTTCCAGCTAAAGGACTAACACAAAATAAGCACACATCTAACCCAACTATGTTGTATCATTTTTATGTTACTACTGACAAATAAAAAAATACTCATTTCTATCCTAGGAACCAAACATCTAAAGGAAAGGAAAAAAAAAAAAAAAATCCCTAATATCGGGCGATCAACACAAATTAAAATCATCGTCCTCCAAAAAACTAACATCCGCTTCCTCAACAAAATTCTCCCTCTCGAGTGGAGTTGCTACCGGTGTTGCCGATGACCTTGACCGAGCCACAGAAACAGTTGACCGTGTGACCGAGGAGCGATGTGCTCATCCCATGACATGAGTGCGTGTAATCAAGAACATTGAAGACCAATAATTTAGATAAAATAACATCAACATTTATACCTACGAGACAAATTTTCCAACATAAAAAATCAAAAATCAACTAGTCATAAACTTGAAAACAACTTCGTAAATACTCTAAATTAACTAAATCAAATACCAGTCAATACAACTATTTAAAGCCTTCAAAGCAACAAATCGTTTGCGAAAAATTTGATTGATAAAAAAATTAAAAAAATATATATTTATCCAAAAATAAACACATTTGAGAGAAAAAAAAAGATCTTAAAAAAAACCAAAATTTGAGATTTTATCTCTTTGATCCCGACAACTACCATCAACGTTTCTCTGTGCGGCCGACCAATTTTAGATGGCCTTCGAACGATAGCGACCGACGGTTGAGCGACCGACGGTCTTGAGCTAAGCGTACCAAAGAAGAAGAGATACAAAAGAAAATAATAAAAAAAAGACGCATAAGAAGACCAATGAGTGAAGAGGAGAGAGAGAGAGAGAGAGAGATAGAGAGAGAGAGTGGAGAGAATGATGAACGGTCACTATTTTTTATAAAAATATGCCAAATGATTTTTGTTTTTTGTTTTTTAAAAAAAAAAAACAATAACTTCCCCTTGGAAACTGTTGTGAACCGCCTTTTCAAATACCACGTAAAGAAGTAAATATATGGGTAAGAGACATAAAAAAATAGACATGTAAAATAATTAACAATAATCTATTGTACAAATATAAATAATAAATGAAAGAAGACATATGGAGTAATTTTCTCCTAATTTTTGCATGTAAGCCCATCAGACCCATGTAAGCCCAATTAATAATAATGTGTTCACTTTTTGCATGTAAGCCCAACAATGGCACAGTAATTTCAACAGCATTTAGTTGTTAAATGTCCCACATCGAAACTCAAAGAAAAAAAGTCTTGTATATACGTGACTTTCCAGTCATCCCTAAGCAAAGTTCAGAAAACCGCTGGCAACGTAAACCGTCAGCGGTTTAGCCTGTTCATATCTAGTTTTATGCCGGTTTTGGGCTCCAACGGTTTCATACCTCAACCGAACCGGTATGCTGGCCGGTTTCTGGTTGCACCGGTCGGACCGGCCGGTCTGGTTCGATTTTTAGAACATTGTTATAAACTCAAAAGATGAGACTGGAGGACTTGATAGTTCGACTTCGAATTGAAGAAGATAACTTATTGAAGTAAAAGAAAGTCAACTTGAGCAACTTCGAGGTTAAGGCGAAGTTGGCTGAGTCCAACTTTAAGAAAGTTGAAATTAACCACAAGCGAGCACCAAAAATTTCGAAGATGAGTGCTCTAATTGTGGTAAATTCAAACATCTTGCAAATGATTATCTTCTCCTAAAGAAGGAATTTCGAAGATGAGTGCTCTAATTGTGGTAAATTCAAACATCTTGCAAATGATTATCTTCTCCTAAAGAAGGGTAAAGATAGCTCGATATAACCAAAATTAAAATCTATTTTCATTGACTTATTTGAGACTTTTTAAGACTTTCATCATGGACTTATTGAAATTTATTAAGATTTTTATATACTTATAGTTATAGCTGTTATGTATGAAATGTTCATGAACGTCACATAACAACTAATATCAATGAAGTCAAGCTTTTTCTTCTGAAAAATATTAAACCGAAATGAGTTTATGATAGTAAATATTAGCTCCTCAACAAGAATAAAGAAAAAAAAAAGCTTTTGTAGATTAATCGTATAAATCAACCCTAAAATACCGAGCTATTCACGAACTACTTGTTTAGGGTTATAGGTTTATTAAACGAGCAAGACAATTCGAGCTTTCACGAGCTTCAGCGAGTCGAATTCGAACAACACCTCATATTCTTTTGTTAAACGAGCACAAGCGTTACCCATCTCTGCTACAATAACACACATACTAGTTAGTTTTATTTTTTATTTTTTGCATCATGTTGCAATATTTGAAAAATAATACTAGGATATGTTTTTACAAGACACAAATATTTTCAAAAGACAATAGTCATATCTTCCAAAGTTATTGATAATACTCAGGATAATTTTATATAAACATATAAACTCTTACGAAATAAAATAAATATTTTAACATTTGGAAATAAAAAATTACAAATAAAACAGAGAAAACAAATAAATTATTGGAATGTGCAAACTATACAAGCGTTTAACATTTGAAAAGTCAAATTCACAAGCAAACAGATTGAAGAATAAAAGTATACGCATATAAAATAACCATGACAAATAAAATAAAATAATATAACATTAAATATTCATGATGAAAATAAAACTTATACAAGCTTTCAAAATAAATGAGTAAAATAATAGAGTATGAAAGTGATGTGAGATATAAAGTCGTGCACAATAAAAAGAGAGTATGAAGAGAGTCACATAAGTCAGCAAATCTCACCAATTTTATGAGATTTTTGTTAGGACTTTGTATTTGTAATTTTGTTACAAAAGTCTCTAAAATTCTTATAATTTAAAAAATCTCATGTCTTCCTACTTTGAATATTGAGTGACTTAGGCTATGTTTGTAAAAGGATTTACTCAATCCAATTTAATTTATATTCAAACTCTAACTCAATCCACTATCCTCAATATTATCAATATAATTAAATAATAATAACCAATCATTTTTATACATCATATCAACTGTAATTCACTATTTATCCACTCACGTAATTTTAACTAACCATTACTTTGTATCATCTATCTCCTACTTTTACATCAAATCAATTTTAATTATTTTACTTTAAATATTATTTTAATACAAACTCAAAATTTCACTAACAACTAACTATACTACTTCTTCTAAATTAACCATGGTTAACTAAAAAAACTCACTTTGAGTTAATTCACTCAAATTATTTCTTTTACAAACACACCCTTATAGTGACTCCCACAAAGTTTTAATTAAATATCTTGAGACTTTTAGAAATTTATAAAAAGTTTTTAAAAATATCAATGGAATAAAGATAATTTTTTAAAAGTCTCAAAAATTGTAAGTTTAAATTGAATAGACCTTGCCTAAATTGCAATTTGGGAAAAAAAAAAAGGAAATGAGGAGTAATCCATATCTGAATTTCTATTCACCGCCCCCATTATTACTCATTGTCCCCCCTAATTACGTATTTGCCTTTCACTACTCTCTCTCTTTCTCGATTTTATATGGTTCTTTTGACCGTCAATTTTTTCCTTAAAAAATGCCAAAAAATATCATGACATCGGTAAGACATTGAAGATTAACCATATATATATATTTTACTTTGTAAATAATTTTTTAATTTAATTTTATTTTTTTTGGCGCATTCGGCCTTGCCGGTAGGACTCGCCAAAAAAATAAAAAAAGTTTAAAAAATTACTAGTACGTAACCCCTGCGATGCACGAGATGTAAAATTTGGAAGAATAATATAATCTCACGTGCATTAGGATCGAAATTGAAATCATTAGAATACATAGGAACATTGTTGGATCAAAAAAAGTTCGGTAACAATCATAAATTATTAAAAACCTCCTTGTACACAACATTATGAGTTTGATTATTTGGTAATCCCTCATTATCACAAACTAATATTTTCAACCCCCTTCTATTATTTACACGCGAAGCAGCAACATATAATTGGCCGTGACTAAAAACGAGTTTCTTCAGAAAAAGACCAACGTGCGATAAAAAAAAGAGTTTTTAAAAAAAGAATTTTTAAAAATTGAAAAGTCAAGGCAATCAGTTCAGATTAATTAAAGGTCAAAGAATATCCGCTCCTTGAAATAAAGACGTGTGCTATCATTGACCAAATATCCGGTTATTGATATAGAGTGGTTACCAAAAAATAGAACGCGATAAGGACGCTTCATGGAAATATCAATGGGATAAGGCTATAACAGATCGCTATACATTTTAACGATAAAAGCTCATATGGAATGATTTAATTAGATGTGTAAAAAGGACATAATTAATGAGAAGTATGAAAAGGACATAATTAATGAGAAGTGTGAAAAGGACGCTTTTGAAAAATATTTAGTGTAAATCCGACATTGACCATAATTTGACCCCATGTTTTAAATACGTACCGTACCGGCCGGTATTACCGGTAATACCGGATACCGGTGATTCGACCGGTACGGTTACACTTAAAATACCGTTTTGGCCAAAATACCGGTTTATACCGGTTTTACCGGCCAAAATACCGGTCAAAATACCGGTTTATGTCATTTTTTTTAAAAAAAATATTTTTTAATATATTTTCATTAATTTATTTATATAAATTGAAAGTTCTACACTTAATTTTAATATGTTTACATTGTTATTAGATGATATTTAATTTTACTATTAGTTAAAGTTAGTTTTGTACATCATTTATATTATAATAACAAATTAATTTAATATTTATTGAAACCGGTAAAATAGACGGTAATACCGGTCGAACCGGTTGAACCGCGTACCGTTGGCTCGTCCGATATGATAACTGGTACGGTATTTAAAACACTGATTTGACCTACTATTTTGGATAAATGTTAATTTTTATTATATAAGTATAGATTTACAAAGTAAAAAAAAAATATATGGTCAATTTTGATGTCATAGTATTTTTTTAGTATTTTTTTAAAATTTTTTTGACGGACAATGTCATAGAAAATCGAGAAAGAAAAAGTAGAGAGAGAATAGTAAAGAGCAGAATCGTCAAGGAGGCAGTGAATAGTAATGCCCATTGATGAAACCAGAGCCCAGTAGAGCGCCAATCAAGCAAAATTTCCGCACAAAGTTTCCCTTTCTCGTTTCGAAAATAGCGAACCAATCCACCGATCTACCACCGGTATCTGGCCATTGATAGGAGATCTAACGGTTATGGAAAAAGGAATTTCTACATTGGGGCTTCTTATTTGATCCCGAAACCCTGCCTCATTTCGTTTTGCCTAGGTTTCTATGCATGGAAGGGGCAGGAGAGAGAAAGAGAAAAGGTGGTCCACTAAAGCTTGACTGGGAGAGACTGCTGCCCCTCCACGACAACGAGCCGCCACCAATGGTGGTGATTGCGGCCGCGGCGGCGGCGGCGGCGGTGAAATCAAACTCTCAGGCGGTGGAGGAGGTGATGGTGTTGGGGGATGAGGAGGAATTGCACAGGGACCCAAGTCTCCAGAATATTTCTGATAAAGAACTGCGTGATAGGGCTGATAGGTACAGAAATATATTGAAGAGTAAGGCTCCTAATTTGAAAGATGGCGGTGAGAAAGTGCGAGTTCGTTTGAAGATGATTGAAGTAGAGTTGCAGTGGAGATATCTGCTGAAGGTTTTCGTTTTGACGGATGAATTTACTCTCAACTAGTGCATGCTTGGAGTCCTGAAATTGTGCTATTAATGGGTTCTTGTTTAGTACTATGTTTGGAACTGTGTTGATGTGTTGCTATTGCACTGAATATAATCTGATCTAGGGATAAGGGTGTGTGATGTCTCCTGAGTTCTTTGGCAGCTTCTTGTATTACCATTATACATTTAAACTTTCTTGAAGCCAAATGCATTTTCTTTTTTCTTTTCATGACAAATACTAGCATCAGTAGTTTGGCGTGAAGGGGTAAATTGGGCATGAACTTCATGGACATTGCTTTGGCGTTTTCTATGGGAATATTACTCATAATTTGTGATGATAATTACTGGCCAGGCTGAGGACAAATGGAAGAAGGTGACACCATTAGCTGATAATCCTATATGTATTGGTGAGTTTTATATGGCATTACTTCATTAGTATTTGGCCTCTGTCTTCATATCTATTAAGCCTGAAAATGATATCTACATTTATGGGTCTGAGCTCTGAGGAACTATGCTTGCCCTTAATAGCAATTATACTACAACAAATCTACATTTAGAATGAAACTATCAGCATTTGTTTCTGTAAAAATCACTTTGGCTTATTAGCAGTTAATACTGTGTTTGAATTCATTTACATTTTCAAATTTTGATTTTTTTTTCCTTTCGAAAATGTTATGATAGAATACACAAGGGGAATACATTGAATTGAATGCATCTGGTTTAGTGAATTGCAAGGCTTGATCAATTGGGTGGGCATGTTGTTTGGGTTTCATTTGATCTACTTGAGTTTTATATCCGCTCGTAAGAGCTTAAAGTTTAATTCATGTTGTAGGTGTTACTGATGACTCTGCATCTCACGGTGATCCTCCATCTGTATCTGTATCAAAATCCAAGTTTGCCTCAAATTTTTGTAGCAAGTTGGACGAAAAAGTATGACTCTGCTTTTATGTTATTCATGCAGTATGGAACTAGATAGCTTGATCTCACATTCCTTTATTTGATATATATATATATATATATATATATTTAACAGGGGCCGATCAAGTCTTTCTCAGAAGAACTGTCTACTCTGAATCGTTGCAGTCACGAGAGAGGAAGTGGGTCATTTCTGGTTCAGAAGACTGGTGTATCCTCGAGGCAAGCAGCTTTTAAATCTCCAAGTTATCTTTCAGTACAGATGAATGGCAGGTCTCAATCAACCCGTGATAAATCAGGAGGCCGCTCTTCTTGTTCCCCTCCTTTTCGATCAAATAAAGATTACTCTAACTATCATGAGAAGAGGTATTATTTCTGTAGTGATTTTATCGTTTTCTTCACTCCTAATTTGGAAAGAGGGGCATGTGATGTGCGATGGTATGATATTCTTAACTTGATTTGTTGTTAATTATCATTCTTAGGGAAAATGGTAAACGTTTTCAACCTATGCGGACTTCCAAAAGGAACAATGTAAGTTTACCATATCTTGAGTTGGCTCTCTTTCCTGCTTTTCCTCAATCCTTGGTTCTTGTGGTTCGCAATGTCATATTTATTGTTTCGAACTTTGTTGGATGCAACTTGCACTAAGTTTTTTGGTATGAGATTGATCCTTGAGATGAAAATTATAAATTGGCTTAATAGACTTCAAGTTCCAGAAGAATTTGGAGGGAGTATGAAGATGCCGGTCTCTGATTCTGGGTATCAGTGAGCTTTTATTTAACGCATCCTAGGATCAAACCAGTTTCTTTCTTTCTTTCTTTTTTCCCGGGTCAAGTTTTCTAGCTGGTCAATATCTCCACAGTGCAATCTCTATCAAAACACTTTCCAGATATTATAATTACTATCTTTAACTGACCACTTTTTAACCCAAAGCTAGTTCCAGGATGAAATCATGAGTCTTTGCTTGGGAGCTGCTCATTTTTTACCATTTTTCCTGACGTTTTATATGCCTACCAAATTGTTTAAGACTCCCGTTTCATTTTCCACTTGTGATCTGTTCCCTGGTGTCTAGAAAAGTGAAGTGTTGTACTGGTATTTTTCATCATTTTTTATTGGGAGAGTATCCTTTTGAAGTTTTACATGCTAAAATTTACTTTCCAGCAGAAAACTGTTGTTCTGGTTGATGAGGAAGAACTTGAGGTTGATACAGTAAATCAAGTGGACCCAGTGGGTCAAAGGTATTAAATAGTTCATCCAACTCTTTATTAGTTCCAAATTTTTTTGGTGTATGTTTCCTTGAAATAGTAAACCACATGATAGCAATGGTTGGGATTAGTTTATGCTTAGTCCTCTGTTTTGTTTGTTTCAGCAGTCTCAAGGGGACAATATACTATCCGTCGAGGTACACATTAAACAAAGATAACGGATCATTGGCCTTATTTATTGTATTAAATTCTTCTTTACATGTATTCTAAATTTCTGACAATAGGGATGACCCTGAAGCTGTTCAAATTTGTTACTCAGACATGGAATGTCTGGCTCCTCAATCTTACTTGTCATCAACCATCATGAACTTTTACATTCGGTAAGCTGATAGAATGTCATCTTTTGAGTATGACGCAGATCATTTGAATTGAGTAGATTTAATTGAAATGATTGATTATTCCATTTTTATCTTAATTTATGTTAATGTATTTAATAGTTTCCTTTTTCTTTTAATCTTCTTCCATTGTTTTCCTTTCACAAACAAATCTTTCATTTTGTGTGTGTGTAGAATTTCAATCCTTCCAAAACTGATTGTACATTTTTCCTATTTCTGGTAATCAAATATTTTATTTGGACTAATGACTTTTTAATGCTTTACTCCAAACCACACTAAGTGATTCATGCTGTACCAGTTGCTACTCTCTTGGGAGGCCACTTCATGTTGAATTACCCTGCGAGTACCAAAATTTTAGTCTACTTGGCATGGCTTCATTTAAATATTTAAAAAGCGTATGCATTTGCATGTGATCAGCTTTTGTCTTCGAGTTACGTGTTTTCTGCAGTTGTAAATTAATATAGATAATTTTTTTACTGATCTACTTCGTTTAGGTATCTGCAGAAGCCAGTATCTCCCAGCACCAGAAAGAAATGTGATTATCATTTTTTCAATACATACTTCTACAACAAGTTGAAACAGGATGTCTTGGCTGAGGTATCATCTTCTTCTGAGCTTAAATTCTCGGATGCTATTCCTGACTTGGAACATTTAATTTCATTTCTATTTATACCAGCTAACTTCAATCACACGTGTAACGGTGAACCCAATATATATGTAAAGAATCATCAAGTTGGATATAGATAGCTTCTAGGTATATCCATGTTAGCCTCCTAGTCAATATTGAATTCATTTTATGGATCTTTTAGACGAGACTCTAATATGACTGGCTGATACTTGTCATGTGGGGATGTTTCATAGGTTTTCGACAACCCCGTTGCCTTTGAATGTTACGCTATTTGGTTTAGTGAAAAATAAGAATTATGACAATTGTGCATGGTTGAGGCATTTGCTTTTATAAAAGCTAAATCCTCGGGCATTTTTGTTATGATGCAGGCGAATAAGGAAACATCGTTTAAGAAGTTCCGGAGGTGGTGGAAAGGTGTCAATATATTTGAGAAAGCATATATCTTCCTACCAATTCATGAAAAGTGAGTATTAGGATCAAGTGCCAGTCTCAAAATAATATGAAAAAAAGCTTCATTTTCAAAACCAAGCAACACGATGGAATCAATATTTTTCATCACTGTCATCACTGTGGTGATGATGGCCACTTGATGAAACATAAGAATAATGTATATTTGAATAACTAGGATTAGAATCTGCCATCTTGTTATCCTTTCATTACTGGGTAATGACTGCATAGTTAGTATTATAGAGAATGGAGGAGCTTTATTATTATACATCTTATCCCTGTACAATTTCTTGTACTTGGCATCATTGATCTAAATATTTGCAATGTGATGGTGGCCCTACACTCTTTATATTCTACTTCTTGTGCATTCCACTTTCAGATTATGTTAAACTTGAAATGTTCTTTTCCAGTGTTTGCAGAAGTTTATAAATCTTTTTGACCTCATTTTGAATATTTGTTGTGCTACCTCAGTGACCTTGTTTGATACTTTTTTTCGCAGTCTTCACTGGAGCTTGATTACTATTTGTATACCAAATAAAGATGATGAATCGGGTCCAATCATACTTCATTTGGATTCTTTAGGGCTGCACTTCAGCAAGTCAATTATGCAGGATGTAAAGAGGTTAGTGGACTTCTGTTTCTGCAAGTAGTATTCTATCCCAGTTACATTAAAATTATGAAAATCAAAGATGATGTGGTGTATGAATTGCTTAAAGTTTACATCAAATATATCGTATACTCTTTAATCTTTAATTTTTCTGGTAAAAAATGGAAAATATTATTGCGACATAGCTGCTTCTCGTTAAAGTTTAAGCTGTCTTATATTATTCCTATCAAACCATGCCTTTCTTGAAGTATTTTCCATTAAGAAAGCAGTCTGGTAAGCTTTTTTAAGTTTGGCCAGGCATGACATCCAATTTCCATTTATATTTAATTTACCTATGATAAGAGGATTTGCTTTTGGGAGTTTATGTATTGGCCAATCAGAATATTAGATACATTCTATTACTATATGACCTGTCTGTTGGTGCCTCAACTGGTAAGCTTCTTATGAAATTTGGATATTAGTCTCGAATCTAGATGGCGCCTCAACTGGTATGGTTGTGATCAGTATTATGTTCCTCAATATCACCTTGTTTTTGAATGTGCTTTCACAATATTTATTTGATGGGTTTCAGTATGTTGTTTAGGAAAAGGTATTTGAGAAGTGGAAATTGATTTGATGTATCAGAAATGGATGTGTTGGTAGGAAATTACATTGAAGAACGTGTTTTATGTTGGTTTTGTTTTGGAAAAGAACTGGAAGAGTTTTGCTTTTGGTGGAAGCAAATCTCAGTGTAAGAGCTTAAGCTTTTATGAGGGGTGTTCACAAATTTTGTTTGGTTAAATGGTATAATTCTCTGAAAAATGGGAATTTTATATTTCGAGAGCTTTGATGGGGTTTGTTTGCTCACAAGAGTAGCTTGTCCCATCTAAATTGTTCAGAAAGTTTTTCATGTTATGTGGCTACTGTTTGATATTTTACCCCCAAAGCGAAAAATAAAAAATAAAAAAAAAATAAAAAATGACTGTTAAATTTTTTTTGCACTTGCTTCGTCCCCTACAATCTATATTAAAATTAAATACATGGTTCAAATAATTATTGCATTTAATATTATCTGTATTAAAATCAAATACATGTTTCAAATAATTATTGCGTTTAATATTATCTTTGGATCGACACACTTCCTTTGCAGCTTTCTAATAGAAGAGTGGAAGTTCCTAAGACAAGAAAATGTACTGCCTGAATTCCCTATACCAGACAATATCTGGGACAAATTATCTAGGAGAATTTATGACAAAGTAATTGAGGTATGGCTCTGTTCTTCTACCTGGAAAAGAAGTTATTTTTCTGAAGAATACTATTGCTCTTCATTGATTATATTGCATCAACTATCCAAGTCATCAAACAGTGATATGTATCCTTAACCGTCAGCACTTGAATATAGCTTTATTTATCCAAACGTATTTATATGACTAGTAAAATGGCACATTGATGTTTCGAAAGGACCAGATGGGTGCTGGTGCTGACATGCCGTATCATCTGTTCTCGACTTTTCGGATAGTTGAGTGAAATAAAAAACTAGTGTCCCTGAAAATTTATAGGTTCTATTGTCGTAGTAAGTTCTTTCATAGATTGAATTATATGTTTACTAGAAAACTAAGAATTTTAGTTAAATTATTCCTAGCCTTTACTATTTCCCAATAGCTCTCGGCTTCCATGTGGTAATAGAAACCACATCTTGGTTCTCAGCTTTACAACCCAAATCAACAAAATCTTATATCTATGGCTGAAGAAAAGGTGTGGGATACTCTGTCTTACAAATTATATAATACAATGAGCATTTCCTGTTCAATCAAAAAAAATTATGCCATCCTCATTTAAAACGGCTATGTGTAATGATCTGGACAACATGCTTTACTTCACGTGTATTCGAGTCAGTTTTATTTGTAACTATTCTCTTATCCCGGAAAGACTTAGCTGAAGGTGTTAGTTATTTTGCATCAGGAAAACATACCATCCACTGGTTATATTTCATACTCGAACGGGGCTTGTTTTGCTTCAACTATCTTCACTTGCTCATTTTTCTGGTCTTTTTTTTCTGTTTTTCACGGAGCAGGTTCCTCAGCAAAGAAATGATTATGATTGTGGTCTCTTTGTTCTTTTCTTTATGGAACGTTTTCTTGAAGATGCCCCTGAAAGGCTGAAGAAGAAGGACTTGGACATGGTACATATTCTTTTTCCAGTTTTTTTAATACAACTCTTTTTTATTTTCATATCCACTTTCTTTCTTGTTCAATTTTTATTTTGTTCATCAGTCTTCAATGTTTTCTTTGTAACTGGTTTTTTAGTTTGGTAAACAATGGTTCAAGCCAGAGGAGGCTTCCAGTTTGAGAAGAAAGATTAGGAATATACTGAAAGAAGAGTTCACGAGTGCAAATGGAGGAGACACGTGTAAATTGGATTGATTACCCTCTCCTGCTGTAGATAAGACTACTAATTGAACAATTGCAAGAGAATCATTCAATGGAACTGCTAACGGCAAAACCTGTAGAGTTGGCCCTCTCTATTGCCGATTTCAGTGAAATATAACATTCGTCGAGATATTTTTGATTCGCAGCCTTGGTGTGGTGCTTGAGTTGTGAAGTATTTGCAACATCCTTTTGTTTAGGATGGTCAGGCAATGAAATTTGGGTCTGTGAACCACATTTTAGAATCAAGTCTTTAGTTTTAAAACTATCCGAGTGAAATTGATTTATGATGTGTATTCAACGTTAGAGACACTGTAAAGGTAGACATTCTAGTCAAGTAAAGATAGTCATTCTAGTCAATTTTGACTATATAAACTCGAAATATTCCAGTGGTATTCAATGGTCAGAGGCAATAAAATTCCTTGTTAGTATTGATATATGATATCAGTTACTGGAGGATCTTTTCTGTAAATGTAATTAGACGCACAGAAACTTTTAGGTTGGGAACCTTTATATTTCTGGATTTATGATCCTGTTTTGTCCTGCCATATTATTTGTCTGCTCAATTTGTACTTGCGTTTGGTTGATCATACAAGTTCTCAATCAATGCCTGAGTTTGAATGTGTTGGCCAAGTGTAATAAAGTTAATAAGATGTGTTTCCGCTACAATTCAAGCTGAAACTACGATACGTCTGCCACTTGTGAGCTGTGACTAAAAGGATGCAAGTGCCTTAATCCTACTACAAATTTCTTTCGAAGTCATTTCCTTCAACCATTGTTAGTTTAGGTAGCAGTTAACTCGCTGTAAGCTGTTTTTAGCATCTAACTTGTACAACATGGAAAACATGGATGAAGTGATGAATATGGAGCAATTATAAATACATTTTTCAACTCTTAAAAAAGAGAAAAGAACAATAATTATACAAATATAAAATATGAGATGGAATTCATAGATGGAGTGATGAATATGGAACAATTATAAAAACAATTTTCAACTCTTAAAAAAGAGAAATAAAGAAAAATAATTATACAAGTATAAAATATTAGAAGATGGAATTCAGATATGTAACATAATACATGATTTTAGGAAGTAATTAAATGAATTTATAATACACGTATATTTGTTATACTTAATTGGAACAACAGTATTCTACAACTGTTGTGAGACTGAAGTTGTTCGTGTATATTTTTTTGGGGAATTGGCTTTTCCTACATCGTGTGTTTTGTGAGTGCAGAACCTATGCAACTGTACAGAAGTGTGATTATGCAACTTTTGGCTCTGAACCAAAAAACTTTCTCGCTCAGTCGCTCTTAGTACAAACTGCAACATCTAAGGATGTCGTCATAACTTTCTCGCTCTTAGTACAAACTGCAACATCTAAGGATGTCGTCATACAAGGAGGAAGTGCATTGCTTAAGGTCGCATTACAAAGTCATAAGGAAACAGAATAGGATACTTCCTGTAGCTTTAGAATTCACTTATACATTGACTTATATTCACGTTTTTCTATAGTTTTCTCTCTCTGATCAATATTCAAGTTGAAACGTATTCAGTTGCTTTACACACGTTTAAGACTCTAGAAAGCGACAAGCACGGGCTAAACACCTGCCAAACTGTACCTCAACTGCTTGTGCTTTTTCTTCTCAGGCGTTGCATGGACTTGAGTTTTCATCCCATAGGTCTTCAGCTGGAAATTCTCAAAGGCCTCAGATACAGCTTCCACCTGTACAGTGTTTCAGAAAAACAAAAAAAAAAAAAAAACAACACGTTAAAAGGTTTATAGTAATTCTACAGATCATAATACCTTGTGTACGAAAAATAGTTCCATTTTACTGACTAGGTGGGGCTTCTTGGAGTAAACTCTCACTATCAAGTCTTGGTATGAGGAAGGAAGCAAGTGACTGACCAGCTCATTTTTTATTGTAAACTTCTCACTGCTATCATAATCCTGTAAATACCAGACAGACATAGTGGGAGGGATAATAAATCAGTCCTCTGTGAACGCAAATCTGTTAAATTCTCTCTCTCTCTCTCTCTCTCTCTCTCTCTCTCTCTTTATTTTATTTTATTTTTATTTTTTGGGAAATGATTACAAGTGTTACACATTGGGTTTTGCTTAATCTTAAAAGGACCTGAATACTTTCAAATTACAAATACTACTTTGACATATGTTTCTGTATCACCAGTTGCATCTACTTATAAAGTCAAACACAAACCTCGAGTGGTTGTAATTAAAAAGATAATTGGAATTGTTTTGTAACTATGCTAAACATCACAACAAGCGTTCCCGCTATATCCCTCCCTTACAAAAAATAAATACAAAATGACACTTTCGGCCACTTCGATCTAAGATAACACAAAAGAGAATCAAGTTTTAAGTTCCAAAGTAAATGATAGTACCTTGAAAAAGCTGATGCTGATGTAGGGCAACACGGATGACATAAGAAAAGCAATAAGGTAAGTTTCAGATTTGAAAGACGTTTATGAGAATCTATATAAATAATTGACAAGCACCAGCCAGAATACCTTTCAAGTGGATTATTCCTCCCACGAGTCAGATCAATTTTCACATTGCTCACGGCAATATCTTCCACATGCAGTGTGGGATGATTAGAACTCTGCATCACAAGTTACAGACTCATAATGATATATATCTTCTGTACATCATTCAAGCAAAGGATAACAAAATAAAATGAGTGTGGGGTGACCTGTGAACAAACAATGTCATGAGCAGTAACATTCTTGAAGTACTCCAGCTGTTCCTTTGGAACTGTTAACTCGTTGCAAAACTGTGAAACATTTTGAGTCTCCACAGATGTGAGTATCGAGTTATTTACAGAACATTTATATAAATCAACATCGAAAGCTTACCTACCAAACACGCGCTTGAGGTTCAGTGCAGTCTAGTTACGAAAAGACCAAACAGACTTTCAAATCTTTCAAAATTACAAGTATCCCCTTGATATCTGTTTCTAGTTACAACTTGCAGTTGAACGGGGGAATAAGTATGATTTCCTTTTTGAACTGTTCTTTCTTTCCATTTTCAGTTTTCTTTTTCCTTTTCATTTATTTGGTAACCAGGCCAAACCTCAAGAATATATTTGGTACTGAAAATTATAATAAAAGAGAATGGCATTCCTCTTAATTGTACTAAAAGTACCTGGTAAAGATCCCGTCTGCGTATGCGGAGGACCAGATCCCTGGATTCCTTCAAATCTTGGCCAGAAGAAGTTTCAATTGCTTTCAGTATCGTGTCATCTAACTGCAAATTTGTAAAAGACAGATAAAGTAACGGCCCAAATATACCAAATTAATAGTCACACAGCGAATCTCAAGTAACCTTCCAGTACTGAGCTGGATCGTCGATGTAGGCCGAAATTTGAAGAGCATCATTAGCTTTTATCATGGCATCCACAAACATGAGTTCTATTGCCTGGAAAGAACTGTGGTTAGGTGTTTACTGAAAGTTGAAATGAAATTACAGAAGAAATGTTTTTGAGACACATGAGATTCAAGAAGTAGATACCTTCACTTTTGCATGTGTATAGACTGTGCGATGCAAATCCGCTCGAGTAACAAATAGCTTATGGATGGTCAGACCTGTTTATATTTAGACTTTAACATAAGATGGATGTTTCGTAGGCAGTTCTAAAATAAATGACATAGCTAGAAATACTGACACTCCTTAGCCCGATAACATATCTCATCATCTATTACTCTCATAGTCTCTAACACCCTGCAAATATTGACAATAAAGTTAGGCAATGCACTAACAGCAGAAATTATTTTCATACAAATATGTGTGTGCGTGTGTGTGTATAATTAACAAATAGAAATATATTGTAACTAAACAATTCTCTGTTTCCATTTCTAAAGACATAGTCACACCTCTGAAATTGAAAATTGCAGCCGAGCCCACAAGCTCTTGAGTCACGGACAATGTAATCAAATCTGCAGACATATAGTAATTATTATTTCTAGCAACCAAAATCTCTAGTTTTATGCTATCTAACCACATGAAATTCATTGACTATTGACTATTGAGAGAGAAAATATACTTGTCAACATCAATTCCATTGCGTCCGTTTGCAACAATGTCATACAAGAAAAGCTTTTCTTTGGAGCTCTAAACAATGAAAAGCAAAATTCAGTTGCGAAAAAACTCACCAGAAATAAAACGTTCAAAAAATATCAAAATATTAGGACAGACTGATAAAACATTTTCACTACAGCACTTACTTTTGAAGTAGCATTCTCAGAAGCAACTATCAATTCCTGACATAAAAGAGGTATCAAAATATAATAGGAGAAAGAGGGAAGGAAAATTGCAAGGTACGTGTAATAGCAATGCAGGGTTTCCATCCACTCTGTCTCACGTCAACTGTCTTGTCTAATAAAGTTTTGAAGCATGCCACATAATGATGGTCTGTGTTGTTTTACGAATTGAAGTACTGAAATTCTAATAGAAACCAAGTATAATACATGTGCTCCACTTTGGTCTCCAGTTTGTAAGAGAGTCGTAGATTGTGGTTTAAGTCTTGTATGGAGATTTATTAGAATAATAAGAGTCAACCTACTAAAGAAGCAAACAGGATATTAAGATTATAAAATGCAGAATATTAGCAATCAAACCTCCACTTAAGACATTCTGGATCAATATAATGTTATGTTCATCCTAAGAATATTTAATAGTTAGCCTAGTAAAGAAACAAACAGAATATTAAGATTATAAAATTCAGGATAATAGCAATCAAACCTTCACTTTCTTAAGACATTCTGGATCAATATCAATGTTATGTTCATCCACAACATAGTCTATCATTCGCAGAGACATTTCTTCATGAGACCTGCATGCATCGTTTCGTGGTTCAGCAAGTTCTATACATACTGAAACAATTCAGTAATATGTTGCTTCAAATGTGGGCAAGAGCTTTCACAAAAAACAGAATTCTAGCTCATCACAAATAATATAAACTTGAAGAACTCATACACATGAAATGCTTCTAACAGCATGTAGAATGATTTACTATGTATACTGTCAATTTAGGACAAAACTCAGTGATAGCAGCAGCTGGAAGGATATCATTTAAAGCTCTTACAAGACTATCTAAAATTTTCACAATATCTAACACCCTAACAGCATGCCCTAGTACCAAGACTTACAGAAGATCAAAGTTTGGCAAAACCTAAGCAAAATTTAGGCAGCTTTGTAGATAAGCAAAATACTAAATCATGAATAAATGATAATATAGGAAAGAAAAAAGAGAAATAGATCACCATTTCTGGTCATGGAGAACCCGCGGAAGAAATTCACGCTCAAACATGTGGCTGAAAGGACCATGACCAACATCATGCAGTAAACCTACACATAATAAGCAAAGAGAGACATTTAGAATGCATTCATGACAACAAATAAATTATTACAAGAATAATATATTAGATTACCAGCTAATTTCACAGTTTGTATGTCGAAAGGTTCAATATTAAGCTCCAAACCCTGACAAATAGCAAGAAAACTGCATTTATTCTCAGTTACGAAACAGAAAATCACAGTGAAGATACCATAATGACATTACTTGATAGCGTTTCAGTCTGTTGATAGCTTCACTAGCTAGACAATACACCCCAAGTGAATGCTCGAACCGCGAGTGCACTGCTCCAGGGTAGACCATGTAAGACAATCCTGGATATTTGTATTAAGTCAAGCCAGGAGCTGAAGGTTGAAAATGAGTAGAACAGAATTGCAGGGGTAAGGTTCGTGTATAATGTTTAGGAAAGAGTAGAGTACGAGGAGGGCATTTATGATTTATCTGACTATAGGATCATTGATCTTATGGATTTCGGAGAAAGTGGAAAATTTGTAGCTATACAGTAAAAAGAGATAGGTTGGTCTTTAAGTAATTATTATACCGTTGGTCACAAAAACAGATCTACATGCTCGGTAAGTGTTAGAAAACTATGTGGAGTACATATAAATTACCAAGTCCTAGTATGACTTCAGTTTCCTGAATAGTACAAACACAAACAATTTGTATGCTAGGAATCAGGAAGAAGTATCCATCAAACTAATTTGTCATCTCTAGGTTCAGTAAACATAAATTCGAATTACTGGAAAAACATTTTTGCCAGAAGAACCATAGCCTTAATAACAGTATTAGCAACAAAAACATTTGATTATGGCATTTGCAATGAGATCCTGGAGTCTAATCCACTATCGCAATTTTATTTCACATAAGCATTTCCACGAACACATGCAACCATAATTCATATTCTCGAATTGCAAATTCATGCAATACAAATATTCCAGCACTCACCTAGCTGCTTCAAATCACGAAGCCTGCAATATATAAGGAATGTGGAAGTGAATAATAATGAGAAACGGTAAAACTAATTAAAACAATACATACCACAACAATGGTCGGGGTAAAAAAGGTGACCATAGTTTGACCTAGTTTGACTTACCTCTGAAACTGCTCTGTGTCGACAAACTTCAAAGAGAGCTGAAATCCAGGTGAGATCAAATGGATTAAAAAGTATTGAACTATGAGAAAACGCCACATAAGGAATCATAACTCGGAACAGTCCATGTGAACATCCAATGCAAGACAGTGATTCATAAACATACCAAATCACTCCGAAACCTCACCAAATCGCCATGATTCAGGTAGAAAAATTATGCAGAGATGTACGATCAAGTTACGAATGCGAGAACAACATGTCACAAATAAAACGCAGCACTCTCAAGTACCAAAATTCAATTCCGAGAGCAACAACATGACATGATGACAATAAATAAAAGCGCAACACTCTGAAACACTGATGGAACCTCCAACCATCAATAAGCTGAATCTCCATTTTAAACTCAACAAACGCGAACTAAACATCTACAGTTCCAGAAACACACACACACACACACAATCTGAGCTCGTTTCATTCAAATTCGAACTTAAATGCTTAGCATGCTGACAGAAAAACAGAGCGCACGGATAAAATCGTGAACAGTTGAAGAGTTAGAAGGGGAAAAGACCAAAAGATAGGAAATATTACAGGATCAAGATAAATGTTGCCGTGGACGTTATCGTGTATGTGCTTCAAAAAACTCCGGTCGTCGACCTGCGGATTTCCATCATCGAGATGTTTGCTTCCCATGCTTTCTCTTCGTGAAGGAAAAAAAGAAAAATGGAACTCGAAACAGAGGAAAGGGAATAAGAGCTTGGGAAATTGTAGAGAGAAAGAGGGAGAGAGTAAAAGCAAGTTGGAGTTTGGAGAGAATGTTCTGAGGACAGAGAGTATTTATATTGGGATTCGGAATTTGTAATGGTGCTGTGGCGTGAAAGGATGCACCAAATGCCGCCAAAAAGCCGTCTTCCGTCTACTCCCCCGCAAATTAGGTGAAATGTCATTTCGCCCCCTCATATTTTGCCGTATCGGCCTTGTTTTTCCCGATAATTTGTGGCTTTGTGCTCTTGAAAAAGTAAAGCTAACATTCTGTTAGCGGGAAAACAGAAGAAAGAAGTACCGGTCCGGTTTGTAATCAAAGGATTCAAAATGAGCACAACTGGGCTGAAACGACAAGAATAATATTAATTAAATAAAGAGGAATTTACACTCCTTACTTCAATTTATGATTTTTATCAATTTATAGGTACACATCAGAACTCTATGAAAATAAACTAAAAGATTCAGACCATGAAAATAAGAAACGTGAACAATATATATAGTTATGATCATATAAAAATGATAAATAGTGAAAAAAATGAAAATGAATCTATACCATTGGATTTAACACATCAATGATTATGAATATGTCAAAATTTAAATATTGTGGTAAAACATACGGTGACAATTTTACAAATAAGTATATATCTCGTGGTCAAATATATACATTTAGATCATTTCTAGATTTTTTATTTATTTATTTTTATCAATCCATCAAAATCACATTTATTAAACAAAAATTCAGAACTTATAAAAACTAGTTTTTCTATTCATTTAAATTCAATTAAAAAAAATTGATTTGATTGCAATCATAATGACTAAGTCCTTCAATTTTGAAATGACGTCTCCAATGTATTAATTAGTAATAGAGCTATTATTTAAAGATTAAATTCTGTCTTAGTATTTAAAATAATTTTGACTTTTATGCGAAAATTATAGGTTTTTTTAATAGAAAAATAGTATAGATAATTTAAAGGACTCCAATGTGTTAATAGTTAGTATAGGTATTTTTTTTAAATAGTATAGATAATTTAAAGTGTTTCGAATATGTTTTTGAGAAATGACATATTTTAAAGAACACATGAAATTTGGGAAAATACAAAGAAAAATGAAAGAAGGTAGAAGAGCGAATCTCAAGTTCATTGCATTCTGATCCCATTTAAAACAGGGACTAAAATGGATTGATGAGAGAGAGAGAGAGCAAGTGAATCTAATGGAATGGCGGAGGAAATAGTGTGGAAGGTCGATCGGCGAGTTGATGGCTCGAGCACGGCTCCTGTTAAGTATTATAAAAATGCGAGGTTGTAAGTCGTCAACTGCGTTTGTAGTCCAACGGTTAGGATAATTGCCTTCCAAGCAATAGACCCGGGTTCGACTCCCGGCAAACGCATGTGTTTTATTTTTAAACATTTTAGCTTCATCTGTACATTTTCTACAATTTCTGCTTGATTATCCGCAAAACGAAAAATATAAACTAAGGTCATATTTGTGTTGCCTCTCGTCCCTCGTTGTCTCCAAAATTTGAAAGAAGTTTCAAAAATTATATTTTTGCAATTTTTAAAGTTTTAATGCCGTAATAAAGTTTCAAAGTTTGCCCTAAAACTACATGTCGTTAATATTAGAGGAATTTCCACCTTATACTGGTCATTATTTTTATATTACACATATACATCTAATATATACTTATTTAAAAATTTATCGAAATTATCATAATTATTTGCACATAAACAAGCTTTTTAGCTTTGTTAAATATATATTTAAAACATGATGAAGGACGGATTTTATGGGATTTTAGTTTTTCTCTCTTCTCCTCCATCCCTCTATATCTCTCTCTCTTCTTCAAATCCCATACGTATTTCCAACAGTAATAATGTCAAATCTCTTCTTCACCAATCAAACATGGAAAATTATGAGGAAAACACAAATACAAAAACATGAACAAATCGGCGACAAAGTTAGGGGAGAAGCTGCATTTTTCCATGAGGAAAACACAAATACAAAAACATGAACAAATCGGCAACAAAGTTAGGGGAGAAGCTGCAGGTCATACGAGGCCGCGATTGAATCCCACACATGAACAAATCGTGGGAGGTGAAAATGATGAATAATGTTTTTCTTAAAATCAATTATTGCCCCATGCACCATGGGATAGTAGGAAAAGAACAAAAATTAAAATTTATGGTTATTCAATTGGCAAGAAGTTTCCTTATACTTTGCTGATTGATTTCTACAACTTTTATAAATGTTATTGATGATTTTGATTTATGGCAGGCCGATAAAAACATCAAATCTATTTCAAAGATTACAACAAGACGTCAAAGGTTACAAAGCTGTTCCTATACTTTTGATGCAAAACGGAATATTAATTCAATGCCAAACTACAAAACAGTACATTGGATTCGACCTTCTTCCTGAACTTCTCTTCAAACTCCACAGTCCACACAGACTCAGAGATACAAGATTGTATCATCTTCTAATCTGAGGGTAGCACTTCAAATTTGGCTGTTTTTGGGATAAGATTATCAATGGGTAGATGTGCCAAGCTCAATATTTCCCCGCAATTTAGTCCCTGAAAATAGTATGAAACTCAGAACAACTTCAGAGTAAGAGTGTATATACATGTGAGCAAATAATTTCACTCTAAAGCATCAAATTTTCATATTTTTATTCATCAAAGAGACTGCTAATAAATTAGCAAAACTACAATTCTGACCGCTAGGACTACACATCATTTTGTCACACTGAAATGCAGACCAACTAATGATAGGAGTCCAAGGACAACTTAGGAACGCTTCAAAAGCAAAGGAAATTAGACAAACAAAGTTACCAACCAATATATGCACAAAACGAAGCTCAGAAGCAAACTTTCACAGAATGCTCTATAGACATCATATTAATATAGGAGAATGTAAAATGTCGTCAACAGTAGCATCTCTCTGATAAAATTTCAGCATTTTTTTTCAAGATTGTTGTATTTCGATATGAGGTAAGAGTGTTAAATACCCCAAATCCACCCATTTTTCACTTTGTAGTCACTTCACAGCTTCCCAGAGCAAGTCCATTAGATCCTCACACCAAGATCAAAGGTACCGACTCTATAACCTTTGTTATTTTTTTCTAAGAGCAGCGCATATCTGGTATTCAATAAATGAAAAAATATCTACAACCTTAACTTCCCCCAGTGGGACAAAAGAGAACATTGCACAAAAGATGACGACACGGTAAAGCCGAATAGGAGCTTGTGGTCTGACCGTGAGGTTTCAAAAATACCAATTGACAGCTGTATAAAGAAAAGAAAGTAATACACCACCACTACTTTTCCTTCAGGAATCGGAGTATTATACTTCTGAGTGAAGAACTACCATCACATCACAGTCAAAGTGAACACCAATAATACAACATGGTCAATTATTCTCAACGGTTTGAGTAAGTTGTCTAAGAAATTCTATTGCTAAGACTCGGATAGGGAATAAACCTAAGCACAGCTTTCAAATGCACAGTGCTGAGCCACAGTTAAGACTATTGGAAGGGGATCAATACAAAAGAATTATAGCTAATACTATTAGGTTCTAGTTTTGTTCTTACAATTTAAAAGAAGTGTTTTTCTTTTTAAATAAAAGAATAATCCCTACATTAACCAATAAGAATATTGACAGTCTTGCGCCTTCAATTGAAAAGCAACTAGATGATAGTCCTCAGTATATTTATCACATATTAGGACAAATATCTTTTCCAAGAGAGACAGAGAGGGAGAGAAAAATGCTCCAAGTCAGGCATTTGTATTGCACTGTTACAAGTTGACACAGCTGACAACTGCACAGTCGGGTGTTGGATAACACTCCATAACGCACAAATGCTATATAATTACCATAATTAAGTCTGAACAATAATATTTTGCATGTCATCAACTATAAGTCACACCATTAAAGCCTACGAGAAATTTAACGTTGCTACAACTGCACAGTCGGGTATTGGATAACACTCCATAACGCACAAATGCTATATAATTACCATAATTAAGTCTGAACAATAATATTTTGCATGTCATCAACTATAAGTCACACCATTAAAGCCTACGAGAAATTTAACGTTGCTCAAGTTATCCAAGTAAAAAAGTGAGTAGTCGTAGCAATTGAAACCCTAAGATAATCATCAAAAAACACATAATTCTTAAAGAAACAAATAGAAATATTAAGGAATTATTAAAGTCAAACCACAGATTAGGATCCTTACCAATACTTGATCAAGCCATCCCAGCCACAAGTGGCGACTTTACTCTGTTCCAGTGGATGCCATTCACAGCCAATACAAACTCCCTCATGACACTTGAGAGTCCTAAAGACTTTGCAACTCTTCCAATCCCAAAACCAACATCTTCCCTCACCATCCCCTGACATTACAAACCGTCCATCGGGGGAAAAGTTAACCTGGCAAGCATAGCCAGCTACAATATGGCCAGCAAACCTCTTCTTCTTGTTAAGTTGGAATCTCTCTCTAGTACTGTAAATAAGTATCTGGTTATCCAAACTTTGACAAGCAAGCCAATTTGAATTTGGGTGCAAAGAGATTGCGGGCATCGAATGCATATGGGGTTCACTAATATATTTTATAACCACCGGAATCCCAAACTCCCACACCCGCAGTGACTTATCATCACTTGAAGTAACAAACCTCCTGTTGTTATCCACAAAAATAATCGTATTAACCGCCCCTAAATGCTGATCATACTCCTGCACAATCTGCCCTGTGTTTATATCCCACTGCACAATCTTCTTATCACTCATTCCTGCTAGTAGGACATTCTGTTTATCCTCATCCGGATTAAGTCTCACTACATAAGGAATCTTTCCGGTCGAGAAAGTTGATATCACTTGCCCCGTCTCTGTATCCCAATACTTAATGTTCTTATCATATCCAGCACTCAAAAACTTTGTCCCATCATTACTAAAACATATATCACGCACAGCCTTCGCGTGCCCCATGTAAGTTCTCATACACTTGCCAGAATTGTACACGTCCCAGATCTTCACCTTCGTATCCATCCCGGCAGACAGTATCAAATGGCCGTGCTTGGGGAAGAACCTAATAGCTGAAACCCCTTTCGTGTGCCCACTCCATGTGTGCACCAATCTCTTAGGTATGTAACAATGATCGTTATTTGCCTTAGCATCCTTAGGCGGAGTGATCCACGACCTCCCTTGATAATCCTTCTCCTCTTTCCCGTGAAATGTGGTCTTGTCAACATGAGCTTCCCCTTTCCCCCGCTCGCCTTCTTCCTTCTCACCCTTCTTCTTGGCATGCTCCTCCGCATACTTCTTTTGCTCCTCAGTCAACTCACCTTGCACCCATTCCTTCTTCCCGGCCCAGGGGCTCTTCCTGTTCTTCATCAGCCACGTGTCGGTTGAAGGATTCTCCAACTCGACTGTATCCACCTGACCATCTCCCTCGCTTTCCTCCAGCATCTCCTTCTTTTTCTCCAGTTTCCTTTTCTTCTGCTCGTGCTGCGGAATGTTGTACACGGAAAGCCCATCGTTTTTCTCAAACCCTTCAACATCACCGACACAGTTATTCTCGGACGGATCAGCTGCGTACCCGAATTTGTAAAACGTATTGTACTGCTCGTCGAACACGAAGGACCCTATGTTGGCATTCTCTACGAACCCTAGCTTGTGGTTGCGGAGGCCTTGGGCGAGGCCGTCCTTGGAGTAAGGATGAGAGGGGCCCACGATGGGTGTCCATAGCTGGTCGTAGGTCGGATTGAATGAAACGAGGCGCTGGGTAGGGTCAATTGGCTTGTGGGCCTCCGACTGGGCCTTGCCGGCGGCGGTGAGGGAGAGCATGGTATCGTCGACTGCCGGGGCAGCGGATTTGGCGGGGAGGGAGATCCGGATTGGGGAAGAATCGGGCGAAGGATCGGACGTAGGGGGTGGATGAGGCGAAGCAACGTCGTCATCCATGTCGGTGTCTTTGTAGGATTGAAGGAGATCCATAGTTAGGGTTTAGCTGAAACAGAGATGTGACCAGTCTACCTACGCGGATATTAGTCAAGGAATTAGAGCATCTCCAATGTTGTTACAGAATAACTATCGCAAATGTTAATAAATTAAATAGATTGTGAAACATGTAAACAAAATGTTAAGTATATAATTTTAAAATTAAAAAATTATTTTTAATGCACAATATAGTTTAATTTTCATATTATCTATTTATTAAATATTTAAATTCAAGAAAACTTATTAAATAATTAAATAACTTAAAAATGGTAAGAATAATTCTCTCTGTTCTCTTTGTTGGCTAGTTAAGGTGTGAAAAAAAATGTAGATGAACCACATTCTTTTCTACATTGTAGATATTAATTATATCTACATAATCACAATATTTATGATCACATTGTATATTAAAAGATGAAAAAATGTGATATTACAATTGTATATTAAAAGATGAAAAAATGTGATATTACTAAATATGTTAATGTAATATGTAATTTTCATAATAACATTTGAAAATTCGAGATGCTCGTATAGGTTCAAATGCAATACATTACAATTACAAATTGCATTTTATCTTATTGATACGCTGTAGCAAAGAAGTTTTGACTTTTGAGATTTGTTCCAGACTCAAAATAAATAAAATATTCCTCCACTCCACCAAAGTGGTATTAAAAATCGTATATAGGTAAACGGGATTGCTATTTGTCGCCCCAAATTACTACTTGTCGCTCGAAAAAAATAATAAAAAATGATAAATTTACAAAAATATCCCTGTAATAAAAAAAAAAGTTACTAGAAAAAGGCATTCAAACGTCTATCAACTAAGCTCGGTCAACAAAGGAAACGTCCAAATGTTAAGCCCGACTCTAAAGAGAAACGTCCAGAAGCTAAGCTTGAATGTCAAAGAAATGTCCAACATGAAAGCCCGACTGTGAAAACAAACGTCCAAGAGCTAAGCTTAGAAGCAAAGGAAACGTCTAAATGCGAAGCCCGACTCTGAAGAGAAACGTCTAAATGGGAAGGGGCAACAAATTTAAAAATTTTAAATTGCAAGCTTCTTCTGTCGCTAAACGTCCAACTGGAAAGCTTGGGGCCATGAGAAACGTCCAAGAGTAAAGCTTTAAAGCACACCAAACGTTCCTTATTAATGCTTGCCTATAAAAGCAAACGTCTAACATGGAAGCTCCACTGTGAAAACAAACGTCCAGGAGCTAAGCTTGGAAGTCAAGCAAACATCTATCTGGGAAGCTTGAGGCCATGTGAAACGTCCAAGAGTTAAGCTTTAAAGCATACCAAACGTTCTCCATTGAAAATTGTCTATAAAAGCAAACGTCCAGAAGCTATGCTTGGTATCCAAGCAAACGTCCAACATGGAAGCTCCATTGTGAAAACAAATGTCCTGGAACTATGCTTGGAAGTCAAATAAACGTTCCAGAAGGAAGCTTAAGTCTTTAAGGAACGTCTTACAGTTATGCTTTGAATCCAAACAAACGTCCCAAGAAAGCTTAGGACAACAACAAACTTCTTTAAGGAAAACTTTATGTACCCAGAAACGTCCAACGTGAAAGCTTCCTCAATAATTTGATTTTTTCCACATATCACCTAAACTACTTTCCCACATATCTTATAGTAATCAACCTAACATCAACCCATGCAACAATCTTTAAAAGGATATAGAATTGTTATTTTATAATATACACTTATTTTTAATATAATTTTAATAATAAAATCGTAATCATATTTATTAATGACAAAATATTTTTTTAATAGAATCATATTTTAATAGAATCGTAATTTTTTATTAGTTTACAAATAATTCTCATAGTTGTGAATTGATCTCACTTAAACTATTAGTCTAGTAGAAATGACCTCATTTTTTAGTGAATCAAAGTATAGGTGCATATTTTGTAGAGAATCAAAGTAGTGGTTACTTTGATTCACTAAAAAATGAGGCCATTTCTATTGGACTAATAGTCTAAGTGAGATCAATTCACAACTATTAGAATTATTTGTAAACTAATAAAAAATTACGATTCTATTAAAATATGATTCTATTAAAAAAATATTTTGTCATTATTAAATATGATTACGATTTTATTATTAAAATTATATTAAAAATAAGTGTGTATTATAAAATAACAATTCTATATTCTTTTAAAGATTTGTTGCATAGGTTGATGTTAGGTTGATTATTGTAAGATATGTGGGAAAGTAGTTTGGGTGATATGTGGATAATCTTTCCTTAAAGAAGTTTGATGTTGTCCTAAGCTTTCTTCTGGGACGTTTGTTTGGATTCAAAGCTTAACTATCAGACGTTCCATAGGGACTTAAGCTTCCTTCGGGGACGTTTATTTCACTTCCAAGCTTAGCTCAAGGACGTTTTCAAATTTGTAACAACAAATTTCGTGTATATTTATAAACACGAAAAATATTATTCAAATGAATTTCTCGAATCAAAATAAATATAGCGGATTACAATTTCTATTATTCCTCTGATTCTTCTCACGAACGATATTGAGTCTTGGAGCGAAATCTTCGGCTTGATCTTCTCCTTGACTTGATTTGACTTGAATTAACGTTAATCCGAGGGCCAACGCCTTGATTTCGGATCAAACGTCGAAATATCCCAAGAACACGAAGAACAAGAATCCTTGGTCTTCGTCGCAAAGTAGACCTTGAATTTTCTCCATGCCGGTTTTGAGTTTACTAACGTTGTTCGAAGGTTTTGCAGCTTGTTTCCGGATTGAACGTCAGTCTTGAGGTTGAACGCGCTTGAATCTTACTTCGAATCTTAAAAAACGCCTTTGAATCTTCAAGAACACTTGAATCTCGTCGAGATAATTCTCTAGAGCTCTTGAACTTGAATATGAATTATGAAGTATTTTTTGTTACATTAGGGAGAACCCCTATTTATAGGTGTAGGAGGGAGAACCATACCAAATTTAAGAATCGTAGAACGTGATTTAATTGGTCCATGATGATTCACATAAAATCTTTTAGATCTACATAGATCTCCCCAAGATCTTGTAGAAGATGTTTGTACTATTTTTGTTACGTTTTTCGTTATTGTTTTGTAATTCTTTTTCCCTGTTTTAAGTCTTTTTGTTAGTTTTTAGTTAGTTTTGTGTTTTATTATGTATTTTGTTCCATTTTGGTTTTCTTTGTGTTTTTCGTGTGTTTTTCCGGTTTTTCTTCGTTTTTGGTGTGCAGGTCGAAAGTCTCGTGAGGAGTCGATTATAGACCGGGCAATCATGGTGGACTTATTGGCTACACATAGGAAAAACCGGAATTTGATTTCGAGTTCGGATGAATCCGGACGGAACCAAAATGCGAAGCCGCGCAAGTTACCGACCCTTTTAAAAGTTGAAAATTCCACAAAATTTGTATCCTGGGCAAAAGTGTGGTTTTAAAGCATCATTGGATAGAGGGGTTTGTTAGCTACGCGTAGGAAAAAACGGAACTCAATTCCGAGTTTGGACGAGCCAAAACGAGCCAAAAACGTAAAGCCGTGCAGTGCAGTCGCGAGAAGGCCGCGAGTTGGCAACGATTTTTCTCACTTTTCTTCACTCTTCTTCCTTTTTCTCCTTGGTAGATGATGGTTGTTGATGATAGTGTTGACAATGGTTGATAGTGTTGATATTGGTATGCTACTTATCATCTATAAATACCCACTTCATTCATCATCCAAACCATCTCCTAAAAATCCAAATTAATCACAATCCAAATTTATCACAATCCTTTAATCCTTCCATTACTTTTACTTAGTGTGTTTCTAGATTAGTTCTTGTGTTGAATTTTGGAGGTGTTTTCCAAGGCTTGTACTTGTTCCGGTTTGGCGTGTATTTATTCTCAGTTTGGCGTTTGTATCAACTTTATTCATCAACTTGGATTACATGTAAGTTTTCTTTCTTGTAATTATAATTTGCAATGAATCTTATGTTGAGTTTATTTTTAATATGAATAGCTAAATCATTAGCTAGGGGTAGGGAATAATTATTCCGGTTTAAGCTCGTTTATACGCATGTTGATAATTCCATCTTGACGAGTTGTTTTAATCATGAATTAATAAATTAAACTTGGTAAATCTTTATAACCTAAGAGTGACACTTAGGTTAATGATATAATCAAAGAGTGACACTTTGATTTGTGCTTGATATTGATTTATTAAGTGAAAGTTTGTTAATTTTGTGAATTACAATTTGTAGAACCGAGAGGGGAGGAGTTGTAAAAAAATAATCTATTTCATAACCGAAAGGGGAGAAATTGATAGAACTTGGCTCGTTTAGAATAGACATGTTCGGAGACGTATTGTCTATGTGTTAATTGTTTCGTTAATTTGCTCGTTTATGTTTTTCCATATATTACGAGAGTTAGTATGGTTGAACTGCTAAATGAGTTAGTTAGTTGAACTACTTAACCGAGTTATTGATTGTCGTTGAATGAGTGTAAAACCGGAAGTGATTTATTCCCGATTCCCTAGCTTCTTTATTATTGTCTTGTTTATATTTTTAGGTAGATTATTATTGTTATTTCTTAGTTGATATTTTAGTTAATTATTATTCAATCCATTTTGATTAGAGTGCTTAGGATTTATTTTCATTATTTTCCGTAATCGATGTATAAGTTAATCGACATCAATATTAAATTCCGAACAGTCTTCCTCGAGAGATCGACCCGGGAAACAAATCATTTGATTCAGTGCTCGGTAAAAAGAAAATAATTTGTACACAACAGAAGACATGTGATTTATTACCAAGAAATATGATTTGACACTTGACAATATTTGATTGGTCAAGAATTAAAATAATAAAATATCAATTAATTAACTATCTACAAGAACATTTGTTATGCTTTAATGCTTAACTCTTGGACATTTTGCGTGGCCTCAAGCTTTTCAATTAGATGTTTACTTGAGTTCCAAGCTTAGCTCCTGGACGTTTGTTTTCACAGTGGAACTTCCATGTTGGACGTTTGCCTGGCTTCCAAGCTTAGCTTCTGGACGTTTGCTTTCATAGGCAAGCTTTGATATAGGACGTTGCGTATGCTTTAAAGCTTAACTCTTGAACGTTTCAC